AGACAAGAAACACACAACAAGTTTCGCGAATGTTCAGTTTATGGTCTACGGCTACGCACAAATGGGTCGGATAATCAGTGGAAGAGGAATGGAGCAACATTACGCTAGGAGATAGCTTTCTTGACAAATACGAGGCTATGGAGATAAACAGGGGAACAGGAGTGTTCTGACCCAAAAAATTAGAATCAAAAGACACTAAAGATCAAGAGGTGGTACTGGTCCTTAGAGAAGAGTAGGTCATATTTTTCCTGAAAAAAACTTCCCGACCCTTGCTTCCCCTTAATGTTGATCGGAAGTGTCAACTCCCCGAAACTTATGCAGAATCTGTTAAGTTGATAACTTAACTATGAGGGTGGGAGGGGCAAGGTGCTCATACCGAGAAGTTTCGGGAAGGGGATTCGTACCTGGCAAAGAGATTCTACTCAAGACGTGCTCTATATGAGGAGGTTCGCGATGGGAACTCACCGATAAAGAGAATTGGTCACATCCTTTCCGTACCGGCCACCAAACACCGTTCCCTGTTGTTCTGAAAGAATTTCTATAAGTAAACGCTACAGAGAATACCTGAGCGTACTTCAGAGCTACTGTAGTTGAGGGGAAGGGATGCGACGGCACGCCTAAGTCCGACTCATTCAGCACAGATGACCAGAGTTTGTGCGGCCTCTAACCTCCAGATTAGGCTGGCGAACTCTCATCACCTGCACCCTTTCAAAGTTGAGCTTGAGGAAGGAAGAAATCGCTGGATTGCATCGCAGCGTAGCCACCCCGCCCCTCGCCAACTACAGCAACGTCCGTACGTCTGTACTTACTCTCCCGACCACGAGAACAGAACTTCACGAAAATTTCGCTTCCATCCAAGATCGTATGGATAAACGAAGTCTTCCCAGTCGCAGTCTTCTTCTTTGCGATAAGACACAGCCTTCTGTTCTAAAACGGCACGAGTTTTCATAATAATAGTCACTGAAATAACAAGGTCCAAAGTACGTTTTTTTTCTTCACGAAAAATTACGGTTAGTTCAAAACGAGAGAATCCTCACCTATATATTCCTCTATACCGGTCTTGTTGTTTTTAATATACTTCAACTGAAGATAAAGAAGGCCACCAACGCCTACAATAACGCCGAAGGCGAAGGCACTAGCGATCACCATTCCAATCAAGGACCAGAACGTTAATAGTATCATGGGTTCACTGCCATCACCATATCGGTAATAATAATTCTGAAATCGACCTTCCACGGTACACATTTTATCTGTATGTCACATCAACACAACAGTTTTCTTGAACAAAGGAATAAATGAAAGCTCAATGTGCACTGAAGTGAGTTCATACTTTGCGGCAGCGCTTTGGGCTTCCGCCAGCGTTTTGAGCGTCACTGTGTGCTCAGAACGCTGAAAGGCTCGAAACGCTAGCGAACGCTCACAACGGTGGATCGATACCCATACTTCCCTAGTCGCTCAAAACGTCAAAACTCTCAAACCGCCGTCTTAAAGCGTGGACACACTCTCAGAGAACTCTGAAAACTCACGAAATGAATAGCATGATAGAAGGCCGCAATAAGGATCACCAACGCATGGACACATCCGACTACCGCAGAAAGCAGGAATCTAACGAACACTGCATGGTTTCGGTGACCAACGCAATTGTTAATCCAAGCTGAATTCAACATTTCAGAATTTTTAGCAAAACCCATTACACGTAAGAATATAATCGAGTTCTTTAGTTTAGCTAATATGTGAAAGCTGCACTGTGGCGGGAGGATGCACTAACGAAAAATAATGTCGTCATAGATGCTCTAGGGGACTCCAGTTCTCACACATTTCACAGAACATGACAAGGTTGGGTGCTGAAGACTTAGGTTTTAACCCTTTGTATTTAACAAACAAACGGTGGTTGAGTGGTAGAATGCTCCCACGTGAGCGACCCTGAATGGGTGCTGTTTTGACCCTTCTTACTAAACAAGTAGCGGCAGGGTACAGCTTCATGATGTGTGAAGCGGTGGTGCCAGTACGACCCCCACCCCCTCGAGAGAGGAGTCTTGTTAGACCTCCCCCTAACTAAAAGAGGGTCTCGGTACGACCCTCCACCCCTTCCCAAACACCAACAGGGAAAATTTTTACCCAACGCGGCAAATTTCACTCAAAGCACGACTACATCGACCTCCCTTCCTCGCTGAAAAGTACGACACCATATGCGTTTCACCCAACGATGCTGTACCATGGTAGTGCTCCAGTGAAAATAAGCCTGACGGTTACTTATAGTTAGAGTAGAATAAGCTATTCGTCCCGCCCAGTCGTGGCTGTGCTCGACAGGATAGCCGAGCGGCTACATCAAAATGGGGTCGTCGTCGGCGACTGAACAATTGGGCACAGAGAAAATAATGTTAGTTGGGACAGGTGAGAGGGTAACAGCGACACAATTTCTGAATACTTTGAGGTTTCTACAGTTAAGTTAGGGTAGAATGTGATGTGGAGCGATTTTTTTTCTTCCCTGAATTATCCTTAGAATAGAACAGGAATCAGAGTTCAGATGCTTATCTACAATAGCTACTTTCGTTAGAGAAAAAGTAAGACAGAATTCCACTTACGACAATGATGATCCATTTTCATTGAGCACCGTCCGCAATGTGAACAATGATGTGAGCGAGGCACTTTATAACCAGAACACGGCTCGCACCACTGCAGTAATGAGTCTAGGGACTCCTTTGGAGAAATCTTCTAAATTAGTGGAGATGAGATTATTAACGGAGGTTCACAAAAGTTCGTGGAAGAAATGATGATAAAATGGGAGAGAAGAATTATAGTTTTTGCGAACTACACTTCTAGAAGTAAATAGAAACGCTCAGAATTGTGGAGAGGCGCTAAGGATTCTTTCAACTTCGCAACGCGCCTATCTATCCGCTTCATTCAGAATGTGGTACAATACACAGCAATTAATATAGAAAGGATGAAGGATAAAGCTTCCGCCATGGTCGATCCCTTTTCGAGATGCTAGAATTGAAATTGGTTTCCCTGAGTCGAGCTGATCCGGGAGTTGGACCTAAAGGGACTGCTACACCATCGCCTTCACATAAAATTGAAACCGCAAACTATCAAGCTGGGTCTCGTTTCGAGCTTCGACGAAGCAAGGAGGTGGTGCACGGCCAGGGGGAGCGATAGCTCCTGATCGCCTTGAATGAACGTATTTCACGATGTTCGGTCAGAAACGAAAGGGTCATGGAGGTTTTGGCCTTATTGCTTATTTAGGCAGCGTTCAGACTTCGCGACGGCAGCGCTTCGGTCGCGCGTTCGACGCGATCGATGCGCATGCTTTCGACTGCATCGATCGCGTCGAACGCGCGACCGAAGCGCTGCCGTCGCGAAGTCTGAACGCTGCATTACAGGAAATGACAATGAGAATCTATGACTGGTGTTTTTGGAATCGCTCGGGACATTAAGGACAATAACTACTTTAAGCAAGTATTCACAAATGCAACAACCGCGACGATGCTAAAAATTAAGAACGCCTTTGCTAAAACTTCTTCCATCCCAAAAATCGAATACATCACCAACCTCGGCTTCATGTGGGTGCCACTCTAGAGGAACATGACCGGGTCCGATAAACGAAGCTCTTGACAAGTTTGTTATTGTAGAGTAATTCCAGAACAGAAACGCCATGATATTCAGGTACGCCCCTAAGCTGTTCAGAGGCCACCACAAAATTGCGAAATATGAGGATACAACTCCAATCTGCAAAAATACGGTACTTCACAGCAGAGACACCACTCAAACAAAAACAGTTATCCTGAAAGTCTTATAACGTTCTGGCTCTTCATTCATAATCATCAATACATATCATCGGAGGGAGGGGTAGCCAAACGTCCGATCCCCGTCGGCCCGGAAACTCGGTTGCACTCGAGAAGCAACCTGGGGAGGTAGGATCAAGACTGGGAAGGGTAGGACATGGACAAGATGTACAGAGCGCACCTGGCCTATGCCAAGCTCCGCCCACTGCGGACAGGAGTTCGCTGAAACTGAGCGGTCTCGTAGACAAAAGGATATACCCCTTTTCCAGGGGTATACGATGCACTATTTGCGAGGTTGCAGAGGCGCACGCGACAGCGAATTCCAACCTTATAATTGCTTCTGCTCGCTATCAAATTTCTGAATTCTTCTGTTAAAATTAGCACCTACTTAATTGAAAATCAATAATATCTTATCGGTACCGTCTCTCATGTTCA